TTCCCAGTTGAAAAGTGGCTAACCAAATGTCCTTCAGAAACTCCATCAGAAAACATACTGTTTACTGCCCTATTTTAAATTCAGAGGTAATCACTGAATATGAAGATTCATTGGCTATTTTTATACTGGCCATTTTTAAAATTTCACAGCCATCTAGGATAGCAGCCACCACAGCATCCAATACTAATGAACTGAGTACATAAAGAACCCTACTAGATTAGCTAATCTAGTTTCTTAGACTGACTAAGCAAATCATTATGAAAACCCACAAGCAGAATATTATTATTATTATTATTATTATTATTATTATTATTATTCATTACATTTCTGTAACACCTGTAGCTGCAGCTTTCTGGGAAGTTTACAGTATGAAAGTAATAGTTCTTTCCCACCGTTGTTGCCTGAAACAGGTTTTCAGAGGTATACTGCTTCTGATCATGGAAGTGGCATATGCCATAATGACTGGCAGTCAATTATGCCCTATACTCCATAAATTTGTTTAACGAGCTCTTGAAGTCATTAGAATTGGTGGCTATTATCACATCTTGTGTTTGTGAATTCCATTAGTTAATGATGTGCTCTGAGATGGATTGACTTAATAAAGGAATCCACAGCTTCAAATATACAAGAGCTGAGCATGGCTGTGAAGGGCAGGACATTTTGGAAGTAATTCATTCATAGGATCACCATAAATTGGAGATTATTTAACAGCACATGACAACAACAGCAATGTGCTGTGTAAAGATTTCCCTTCTGTCTGTCCTGACTCTACCATTATGCAGCTTCATCAGATGAACCAAGGTTTTAATATTTTGAGAGGAGAAGAGTCTCTCCACTTACTTCTGCCACAATGTGTATCTGTTACACTCTATCTATCTGCTAGTCAGTTACAAAGCCATACAGCTTTGTGGGACTCCTTCTGACATAATCAGTCTTCTGGGGATTCTAATATCTCAAAAAACAGCTATGTCTATAAATGCAGTTACAAACCAGTTGGTGTTGTTTTAGTTATATTTTTTCAAAGAAATACAGTAAAGCTAATAAAATCAGAAAATAGATTTGAAGAAGACCAAATAGCATACTAAACATCCAAACCTACAGAGAATATTGTCATCAGTTAAAATGCAACTACACCAATTTAACACTAATTTTTTAAAAAATCCTTCTCTCAAAGATTGATTTAAACACTACTGAGAAATTATATTTATTTCTTATGGATGAAATTTAATAACATATTTCTGCGGATGGAACTGATTCCATCAGCAGAAGAGGAACAGGGGAATTCCTCCTTCCTCCTGTGTCCCTTCATAATCTGCTGCAGAAGGATCTAAAACTCTTCAAAGTGGTGGGCCGGTAGGGGAGAGGAGGAAAAAGTTCTATTGCATCAACTTCTTGTGATAGTTCTGTTCACAAGATGTATCAGCAGTGAACTATCAATAAATGAGTAAGAGTGTCTGGCCATCAAGCACATATATTTAGTCACTATGTCAAAGCTAAATTGCAAATTCTTGTGTTTCACTGATCAAATATAAGTGGATGATTAATTTTCCATTTACTGTATAAGCAATCGCTATACATGCTGTTAGCAACAACTAAAATTATTAAACCCTTGTAAGGCTAATCTCCAAGATCCTCATCAAAATTTCAAACATGGATAATTTCTGGTTCAAATTTAAATTGTATCATAATGCATCAACTTATTTTGGCAATTTAAAACATTGAATTGGTTGCAAACCTGAATTTCACATACCTAGCAGACATTGCTATTTAAAAAAATGGTTGTGTAACTCTGCTATTCCCATAAAATGCTTTCTCAAAAGTTGATGGTACTGTGGCAAACAAGGGTCGATTCTGGTGCATTCTAAAGGTTATAACACTGCACAGAAGTTGAAATACATCTGCAGTATTTTCCCAATTCTGCTCTGAGGATTGTTTCTCAAGTGCTGGTAGACATTGGAAGCATTCATAAGAGTTGTAGTTATGCCTGCAAACTTGGACTAACTGCTTACATTTATAATTCTGGCAAGATATTTGTTTGGTTCCTAATACTCAGTCTTAGTTAAGCTTCTTAAATTCAAGCTTAATCCCTCAAAGTAGTTGTTTTGGATTTCTCTCTCTTAAATCATCCCTTGGGGTTGTAAAAGAATCTTGCAAGCTTTTGTCCATTCCACAGAGGATATGGAAGGTAGTCATGATGAATCAGTCTAGAAATAAACTAAATTACCTTTAGTTAGAGTTAGTTCTTGCTTAAGCATAGCAGAAATGGTAGCAAACATGTTTGAAATATGGCCAATGTAATGTAGTAGTTAGGCTAGGACGGGCCTGGCAACCTTTAACACTCAAAGAGCCATTTGGACCCATTTCCCACGGAAAAGAAAACACTGGGAGCCATAAAACCCTTTTGACATCTAAAACGAAAACAACACTGCATATATAGTTTTTTACCTTTATGCTATGTATAAAAAACTATAGTGTGTTGTATTTATGAAATCAATGAACTGCTACAGAGAAAACAATTTTTTATTTCTGCATGCAACAAAAACATTTTGAACTCCAAAAAAAAAAGACGCTGGGTTGAAGGTTATTTTCAAATCAAATAGTCAATGTCTATTTGAGTCCTCCTCGTATTTATGAAATAAAAAGCCGAACTTAAATTATCCACCAGCAGCAAACCAAACATGCTGCCTGTAGCAAACCAAAAATGCCGTCTGCTTCTGTGTGCCCTCATCCTTTTATCACATGGTGAAATATTGAACAAACATCCCTCTCCCAATGTAATAATGTTGCTGAATTTTTTATAAGAATCTTCTTAAAACAAGGAAGTAGATCTATATCTTCATTATGATTTAGCTGCAGCTCTTGTTCAGTCACTAAAAACTGTTATTTTTAATCTTACATTATAAACTAGTAGGACTCCTTTCATATATTTTGAATAGGAGAACAGCTTCCTGCAGAGTCAGAGTCAGTGCTAAAGGGCTGCATGCATTAAACAGCAAACCTCATAAGTTCATCAGCAGTAAAAGCAAATGAATCTACCCATGTATCATTAAACATTCGGTTTTCTCCAGAAACTTTTATTTTCTTCGATTTATCCATGACTGAGGGCGGGAAGCTCAGTAAATCCGTGCTGGGTCACAGATATAGATGTGTTTAGTGACTGATAAGCAGATAAACAGTCAAGTGATGTGAATTGTGACAGATCCCAAGTGCAGCTTTTAACATTCAGATGAAGAAGATTACACTGGGACAAAGAGAATCTTTTCATTGTGTAACATGAGAGCTTGCAGGAAGCTTGTTCCACTCTTTCCCTGCACAATAGTAGAGGAATGTAGCAATTTACTTAACCAGCCTCTTCGCAGATTGGCAGCTGTGCCGGTGAGCATTTTGAGCGAAGGAGCCGCAGCCAGAGGGATTCAAGAGCCACATGTGGCTCCGGAGCCGCAGGTTGCCGACCCCTGGGCTAGGACAAGAGAGACCCAGAACCAAATCCTCACTCAGCCATGAGGTTCTCATGGACTGGTTCACATGACATGGCAACCCATCATGGGCAACTAGCCAACAGTGGGTTCTTGTGTTGTACAAACCCAGACTGTCTCCTGCGGTTTGGCTTGTTTTGATATAATTAACCACTGACAACCGATGGCTTGGTGTAGGGATTACTTGAACCCATTGTGGATCATGGGAAGTGGTAAGCAAATGGCAAGAGTGGCAAAAACTCCTTGCTGCTCTTAGTGATCTTTTCTACAGTGCCACACGTTGACTGCTGCTCTGGGACAGTCCAAGTAGCACTTTGGAGCAATTCAAAGGTATGCAGAGGTATGCAAATGTGCCTGCTCAAAATGTGGAGTTTTGCATAGCCAATGTCCTGGTATGTGTCTGCTGTCAAAGTACAATATGTAACATCCATGGACATTAGGTCCGCAAGGCTTTCTATAGGCTGCTTTGCCCAAACTTGACAGCTGTCAGTTGATGAACTGTCATTTGAAATAGAGGCAAAAAGGTGTTTGCCCAATAGGGGGTGGTGATTGTATCTCCCCATTTATAACATGATCATCTAGTTTTTAAGTACTGCCCTGTCAGTTACCAGAGCTTTCCACCTTTTCTATAGTTCTCCAGGCCTCTAGGTCTTCCAGAAAGGAGGCACCTACAACCCACCCACCTTTTGCAAGCACTTACTTTTGACAGCTGTCAAAAGTTAGGGTTCTTTTTAAAAATCTGGAAAATTTGAGCAATTTTGAACAGGGAAATATATGCATGCATATATTTTTACATATGAGAAACACTGAAAATGTGTGTTTTTATTTAAAAAATATAAAAATTTTCCTCACAGTTGCACATATTTCTGTTGTGCCTCCCCAACACCCTCAAAAATAGATAATGAGCCAGTGGTGGCAGGTACCACTTCAGCATCGTTGGAGTGGCTGTCACTGGTGGTAATGTATGACTCTAGGAAGAAAACAAAAGGCAACAAAACTTGGGTTGTGATCAGAGCAGGAAGAGGGGACAAGATGGACTCTGCTGTACAGGACCCTGGGATACCTGCTTGATGGCCTGGGGAAAGAAGACATGGAGAACAATGCATGATAAGCCCGATTGTCTGCTCCATGAACTATGGGATGTTCCATAATCAGCATTACATAGCTTGTTCACAGAGTAGGTTGCTATGTTGTGCAAACTCCCACCCACTGGATGAGCTTGGGCCAGTTATCCTTTCAGCCTAATTTACCTCATACGTTGATTGCAGGAAAAACTTAGAAAGAGGGAGCCATTTAGTCACCCTTGGTCACTTTGGAAGAAAAGTAGGATATAAATGTGATCAATCAATTAAACAAGCCATCCACAGAACTAATATACAAAAGTCTTTGGATTTGGGCTTGAAATGTTAATCTGTAATACAAACATGGTGTATAGTAGTTTCTTTCCAGGAAAAAATGAAGAGGATTTGTAAATTTGCATTTCCAGCAGAAATTACATAGATGCTTGTGCTTTTTATCACATAGGTGGAGATGACCGTCGAGTTCTACTGTGGCATATGGAACAAGCAATCCACTCCAGAGTCAAGCCTATTCAGCTCAAAGGAGAGCATCATTCTAACATCTTCTGCCTAGCTTTTAATAGTGGCAACACCAGAGTCTTTTCTGGAGGTAAGGATGAAAAGCTTCAAATGAACAAAAGAGTAAATTGTGGTACTGAGACCTTTCTCATTATCTTTATTTTATATCTTACATTTGTCTCTCACCTGTGCAGTCTTAACATCTTACTACTGTCTGTGATAGGAATGGTGCATTTTCTGAGCACCACACTTTTGGTCATGAAATTCTTTCCTGGGATAGCTGGTTCATTGTAGTTGCAATACCTGTGTAGAACGTGGTTGTGAGAGTCTTCAAGGTTTGTCTGGATACTGCTTGTAGTATTACATGTCTTGTTCATTATACCTCATGAGAAACCCAAATAGCCATATTTTTAAAAGGTAGCCAAAAGCTGCAGGACTTTCCCCCTTCCCTTCTTTATTGAGCCCACTTGTAGTTCCTCTTAGCTAGCTGTGCATTCATCATATGCATGCAAAGTTTATATGCCTAGACATTAAAAAATAATCAGGAGTGAAAAATGTCATAATTCAACTCCACAGCAAGATTATCCTCTCCTCCTTAACCCATGCATGGCATATCATACTATATAAAAGGGACTTGTAGGGACCAAAGATGGCTTGAATATATTCTAACAGATCTGTTGGAGGAAAATTCACAGGACTTCAGCTAAGCCATCAGTTCAAGGACAAGTACTTGATGTTTGGCAGCAAACAGGATTTCAAATCTCATCACTGCATCTGAAATGCAACAAGATAGGACATATTGCATGACAAAAAGTCTGGCACACGCTTAACCCTCTTCTCCCTCAGCCACTTAGCCCCCCACCCCTGACTGGTTTAGCACATGGTCTTGGAGCCAGCCTGGGGATGATATAGCAGAGGAACAACAGCATGCCGAAAAATTGGCAGATACTGTCCCATCATCACCACTTTGCAAGTTCAAGGCAAGCAGGGAATTGGGAATCAAATACTTGTCATGAACATCTTGTTCTGCTATGACAAATTGTAACAGACTCATCTTTTCTCTGTCTCTCTCTCTTCTTTGTCTCCTTTTTCCCAAAGGAAACTGGACAAGCATAATCCTTCTCATTTCAGTTCATACCACCAATCTGACTTCAAATTCTGTTTATGTTTATAGGTAATGATGAACAGGTTTTGCTCCATGATGTTGACAGGTAAATGCATTTTTCCCAGAGCTGCAACAGTCTTTACTGGGGTGAGGGAGGTGGGGCAGCACCTACACATAGACAGGTCATTGTAGACCCAAAGATGTTGGCTACCTTGGCAAATATATGGAGGGTCTTAAATGCCTACATCATGAGGATATGCAGTTGCTTTTTGTACTTTCCTTCTCCTTACTGCCTTTCTTACTCATTTTTATCTTCTGCCAGCCTTCCATTTTATATGGTTATCTGATTACATATCATGAAAAGTATGCATCTGGGCTATTAGACTTGTTTGAAAGGCATAGTTGAAGATGTAAATTGCAATCTTATGCATAGAAAAAAAAATCAGTCTTTCAACTCCCAGCATAGCTGGCTGGGGGATGCTGGGAATTGTAGGACCTATTTCTACCTAAACATGCATAGGATTTAATTCTTGGCAAAATAAGGGTATAATCCTTTGCAGGTTTACTCAGGAAAAAGTCCTATAGTTCCCAGCTTTTTTCTAAACTTTTTCCTATCTAAACAAGCATAGGATTGTAATGATGTAGCCAAAGGCCCTGATCCAGCAATTCTCCCTTATACATTTAATTCTGTACAGAATAAGACATTCTTTTTGTTCCTATACAAGCATACATACCTCCTCTCTGTCCCAAGGCCAGATGCAAAAGCAGTTTGAAAACCTTCTTTTGATTATTAAAAAAAACAACTGATGTGATGATGGGAATGGAAATAGAAGCTTTTTCTTCTGTGAACAAAAGCATTTTTTTCTGGGATAGGAAACAAAAAGCCCCACTTTCTGTACAGTTCTCCCTGTATTCCATTAGATTAGGGCCAAGGTGTGCAATATGCCATTCTATGTGCAAACTTGGCTTGAGCCAAGGCTTTCCAAAATTCAGATGAAATGCATATGGTTTTGTCTTCTCTGCAAAATTCAATAAAATCCTAGAGACGTCTGCTGAGAAATAAATCCCATTCAATTCAACAGCACACCTCTCTACTAAGTGTGCAACCCTGTGCACAATCACAGGGGAGGAAGTGTTTTCCGTGTAACCTGTTCCTCCTAGTTAAATGTAAATGATAGGAAACTAATGACTCTCTTTGTTTCAGTGGTGAAACCTTGGATGTATTTGCCCATGAGGATGCAGTGTATGGGCTTTCAGTGAGTCCAGTGAATGATAATGTTTTTGCAAGCTCATCTGATGATGGCCGAGTTCTCATTTGGGATATCAGAGAATCTTCCCAGGGAGGTAAGGGCTATGTATGTGTGAGCATGGATGTTGAATTCTTTCATTGAAAGAAATTGTACTATGTAGCAAAGTGAAGGCCTAGGGAAAAAAACTCAGAGAAAATTCAGAATGAATAAATGGGTTGTTCTGTCTCTGACTCCACTTTGTTCCTGTGTTTGTTTATTTGTTTTTGAGGATCCATTTCCAACTAAAAAAATTAGAAATCCTGGGAACCACTGAAAACTTCCTGTGATATATTCTTTTTTGGATTGAATAAAACACTTTTTAAGGTAAATTTTCACTCAAGAAATCTGCAATATGAAGATTTTTTTAATGCAAAATAATCTACAGTATCAGAGAGCAATACGTTCATAGATACATAGAGTAGTAGGATCAGATGGAGCCAAAAAGGCCATCAGGTCCTAATCTCTGCTGGTGCAGGATGCCAAGTCACACCATCCCACTCAGATGATTTGGGTGCTTCCAGACAAGATTTTTATCATGCATTGCCTTGTATCATTCATATAGTTTTTTCAGGGGGTCCATACAATGTTGGTATCCTTTTGTGACCCTCCCATGTTTTCCCATCACTTCTTCCATCTTTTTTTTCCTTGCCAAGGAAAACTTATGAAGGGACAAAAGTTGGAATAACAGCACAATGCTGTTTGGCCATTACTGCTCCATCTGGAAGCTCTCTTCCTATGTAGATATACACAATACTCAAATTTGTCATGTCTTTCCATGCCTAAAAGGTGCTGCCATTGCTGCTTGCCTCATTCTGGTCATCTTTGAACTAGTCTGGAGATTGTAGAAGCAAATATCCAGCCTTGTCTGTCCCATACCCTAGCTCTTCTTTTGTGGTTGACCATTCACTTCTCATTTCAAGCTGCTGTGACAGACATCCTGCTAAAATGGGCAGAACAATTCATGGTTAATTCTAATGTGCAGCAATCCTGTGGAGGTGGTAAAGAGAGAATCAGTGGCAGAAGATCTACTCTTTCCAATATCCTGCTGGACTTGCATCAACCAGTGTTTGAATGGACAGTAGAAGAGAAAATAAGTACTCCAGCTTCAGGCCTACCCTGTTGGGGGAACAGGTGGCCTTTGGGTCCTATAGATCCAAAGCTTTTCTTGATACGCCCAAACATGCTCCCCCCCAACACTGGTGGAGGAGGAATAGTGGTGTTATTTTCTGTAGTTGTAATGTTGAGGCCTCCAAGAATGGGTGACTCCTTCTCTGCCCATGGTAAGAGAAAACTGCAATATCTATGACCAAGGAGTCCCTCCAGTACAGTAATCCAAGTGCAGGACATTACCACCAAGAAGGCCCTCTTTTGAAATTGCACACACCTCCTCTCTGAAGGTGAAGCAATCTAGAGAAGGACTTCCAAAGGTGACCTTGGTTTATGGGTAACTTCATTGGAGATGTCAGCTTAGTCTCTGTCTCTGCTTCCAAATTATTTAAGGGGAATTGAATGTCCCTTCTCCCAGTGGTTTTGTGAATAGTACACAGCACACTTGTAATCATTCCTTCTAATCTTTTGTTAACTGTAATTGGAGAGTCGTATGTCAATTTGCAGATGACCATGTTGAATTAAACCCAGCGGACTAGGCTTTGTAAAATGAACTTGGGAAGTGTGGAAGTAATTCATATGAAACTTTTTGTAAAGTGTTCTTAGATTCCTTATGCTAACAATGAGTAAATTCTCAATTACCTCAATTAGTGGTCAGTATTTTTTTCAGTAACATTGCCTTGGAAGCTAATAATATAAGTAGGAAATGTTTTCATCTGTGAGTGATTTAGTTAGGTATTGCTGCAGAAATGATGTGGGAAAAGGTTTGTGTTAGGGTTCTTGAATATATATATCTGCTCAATAGAGTTGTCTTTGCTTTATATATAATGTATGTAGCCTTGTGCATCACTACTTTTTGAGTTCATGGAACGTTTGTCTGTTGGATTGATATTTAAAACGCTGGCTCTATACTGGATATGGATCTACAACCTGAAAGGCCAGTAATTTATTTGACTCTCAATGCAATTCTCAGTGTGTTTACTTAGAAGACCCACCCATTATGTATACTGGTACATCCTCAGTGTTTGGTTATTGGCAATTTAAGAAATGGTTGCCTTTAATGGCATGATGATTTGGTTTCTTAGATCTGAGTTTTGTCATCAAAGTTTAAGTACATGTGTGATGGATTCCATTCATGTAGGGATTTGAAACAATATTATTAACAGGTCATTTTCATTAGACCTTGATTTGCCTTCAGAGATTCTGGGCATACAGGATCTTGTTGATAGCCTGCAGCAGAATGGCAGGAGTGCTGGAAACTGAACAATAAAAAGGAGATCTGGCCAAAATATCTGGAATTTTGGTGACAAGTCAATGGTAGTAGGGTGTTAAGGGAGCAACTACTCTTGCTGTTGTCAGTAGCAACTAGGAAACAGAGTTATAAAAGAAAATAACTGATGGAAATTCTCTACTGTATTTAAAGTGATTTTAGTGCTACATTAATTTTAATGTCATAATCTGGTTTTAATTAGATGGGATGTCATAACACTTTGAGAAATCACCTTGGAGATGACAGCAATGTCTTGTGCAGGAACCTGAACATAAGTTTTATGGAATTTAGATAAAATAACTTGTTTAAAATTCTTTATATGAGGCATGTATCTATATTAAAATATTTGTTACTGATGATCACAAGATTCAAGATCACCCATTTAGTAAAATTAACCAGTTTCTGTTGGTAGATACTACTGTTCTGATGTAGAATTATTTTAGGTTTCTGTGCCTGGACTGACAGAATGCACACTAGGAGAAAGTTTAGTCAGAAGTCAAATTGCACAAGAGATGCTATACCTTTAAAATAAATAAACTGATCTTCATTTTTGTCAACAGAGCCTTTCTGCTTGGCAAGTTATCCATCAGCCTTTCATAGTGTGATGTTCAATCCAGTAGAGCCTAGATTACTGGCCACTGCCAACTCAAAAGAAGGTGTAGGACTCTGGGACATTCGCAAACCCCAAAGGTAAGAACTTTAATCTTAATATTCTTATTCTTATTTCATTTCTACACTCAATATCCAATAAACTGGTTGGTTTACAAGAGTACATGCATGTTCTACAAAACTCATAACAAAAAAGCCAAATTGGAACCTAAAGTCAGCATTAATATTGTGTAGAATTTTTTTTTCTAATCTAGGTTCCTAATCTGGCCTGCTTTTCAAAGAGAAATAATCTTAGCGGATGACATACAGTTCGAACTAAACAGGTGAAGTGCATTCCTTTTGGTTCTGCTGTACCTATTGCAGCATTTGATACCATCCATCGTTGTATCCTTCTGGGATGTTTGCCTGACCTGGGCCACTGTTTTGTGGTTGTTCTGGTTCTAGGTGACTGAATGTTCCCAGATGGTAATGTGGGGGGAACTGTTGTCAGCATCATAGCTATTTGCTTACAGAGTTTCTCAAGGTTCTATTTCCCCCCTATACTACTTAACCTCTACATGGAACTATTGTGGGAGGTCCTCTGGAGTTAGAGGGTTGAGTCATTTCACTTTGCTGATGATATTCAGCTCTCTGTTTTGCAGTTGATGCCAAAGAGGCTGTAGAAATCCCTAATCATTGTCATGATACAGTGAGGGACTGGATGTGAGCAAACAAGCTGAGGTTCACTTCAGACTTAGTCAGTGGGCAGGCCATTTTTGATTAGGGATACAGCCTATTCTGGATTGGGGATGGGGGACTCCATTACTCCTGGAGATCCTGGTGGCTGCTGTGGCCAGGAGTGGATTTTCCAAGTTTCCTAGGGAAGAGAGAGTTGATCACAGTGATCCAAGCCTTAATTACCCTTTTTTAGACTACTGTAATGCACTTGAGGTTGTCCTTGAAAATTGTTCAGAAACTGCAGCTTGTGCAAACTGGAGTAGCCAGAATGTTGTGCACTGTAGAAACCATATATCACCAGTCTCAGTCCAACCGGACTGGCTACTACCAATTTGTTTGGAAGCCCAATTCAGTGTGCTAGTTTTGAACTATAAAACATTCAACTGCTTGAGGCAAGGACATATGAAATATTACTTTCTCTTGCATGAACCTGCACAGTCTTCCACTGAGGCCCTGTTGTGTGCCCTATCAACAGGAAAGTAAGATGAGTGGGTATACCAGACACGACCTTTTCCATAGCAACGTCCTTACTGTGGAATTATTTCCTGAGGGAGGCCAGGTGGGCTCCATTCCTACTGTGTTTTTGGACAGGGAGTCAAAACTCTCCTGTTTCTTCAGAACTTTGCTTTGACCTTTCTTAAAGAATGTTTTGTTTCTGCTTTTTATCTCTTGTAAATCTAGTGAATTATGGTTGTTATTGTTTAAAGTCTATTGTTTTGTGGGCCCTGGTGGGCAGAGAAAGGATTTATATATTTTTTTCTACATTAAAAAGTCTGTATCTTTCTCTTGAATTATAATACACACACACACACACACACACACACACACACACACTTGAATAGAGTCACACTTTACAGTAAAACACCCAGCAAATCATAGAATAATAGAGTTGGAAGGAACCAGAGGGCCAGCAGATCTAACCCCCTGCTCAGTGCAGGACACCAAGGTAAACCTTGCTTCTCAGATGGCTGACCAGTTGCATCTTGAATGCTTCTAGTCTGGGAATGCCCACAACCTCCCTTGGTAATTGGTTCCATTGTTGTACTGCTCTAAAAGTCAGGAAAATTTCCTTGATATCTAGCCAGAATCTGGCTTCCTGTAACTTGAGCTTGTTATCTCATGTCCTGGACTATGGGATGATTGAGAAGAGATCGTGTCCTTCTTTGTGACAGCCTTTCAAGTACTTGTGGAGTGCTCTCATGTCTCCTTTCAGTCTTCTCTTCTTGAGGCTAAACATGCCCATTTCTTACTATCTCTCCTCATAGGGCTTTGTTTCCAGTCCCTGGATGATCCTTGTTGCCCTCCTCTGAAACCTTTTCAGCTTGTATACATCTTTCTTAAACTGTTGTGCCCAGAACTGGACACAGTACTCCAAATAAGGCCTAACCTGTGCTGAGTAAAGGGGAACTAATACTTCACAGGATTTGGAAGTGATACTTCTATTAACGCAGTCTGAGATAGCAAATAACATCTGCCCTTTTTGCAGCTACGTCACATCATTGACCCGTGTTCAGCTTGTGATCTACAACAATTCCAAGATCCTTCTCAACTGCAGTATTGTTGAACCAAGTATTCCTCATCTTGTAACAATGCATTTGGTTTCTAGGTGCAGAATGAAATTCTATTCTATTGAATTTCATTCTGTTGTTTTCAGCCCAGCTCTCCAACCTATCAAGATCACCTCGAATCTTCTCTCTGTCTTTGAAGATATTAGATATACCACCCAATCTGGTATCATCTGCAAATCTGATGATCATTCACTGGACTTCTCATCCAATAAAAATCATCAATAAAAATATTGAAGAGCACTAGGTCCAGGACTAAACTCTGAGATACTCTACTTGTTACCTCTCCCCAGCTGGAAAAGGTGCCATTGATGAGCACTGTTTGAGTCCAATTCTGAGATCCACCTGATTGTTGTTCCATGTAGCCCACCTTTTGCTAGTGTGCTAATTAGGATATCATGGGGCACTTTGTCAAAAGCTTTGCTAAAGTTTAGGTAGATTATGTCCAAAGCATTTCAACAGTCCACCAGGGAGGGTACCAAATCAAAAACTCAAATCAAATCAGTCTGGCAGGTTTTGTTCTTAAGAAACCCATGTTGGCTTCTGGTAATCACTGCATTGTTTGCAAGGTATTTGCAGACTGACTGCTTTATAATATGTTCCAGGCTTCTTCTGTTGTTCTCTACCCTTTTTTCTTGGTGGAATTTTTTGTAATTGTGCATTTAGAATTTCCTTTTTTTTAAAATTCCAACCCTTCTTTGACTCCTTTTCTCATTAGAGTCACTTGCCATGGGACTTTACTTATAACCAGTTGGTTTTCTTGAAATCCAGGGTACATGTATGGCTATATTTGGGTTTTGCTTCCTTTAGAATCCAGAATTCAAGTATGGCATGGTCTCTTTTGCCCAAAGTTCCTTTAACTGCCACTTTGTCCACTAGGTCCTCTCTGTTGGTTAGTATCAAGTCAAGGATGGCCATTCCTCTTGTTCCTTTTCCCACTTTCTGTTGGAGGAAGTTATCAGCAACAAATTTTAGGAATCTCTTGGGTTGGCTGTTCGTCTGTTGGCTCGCCTCATGGTTTGTTCTGCAGTCAAGCTCACCATGTGTTGAGTCCTCAATTCCTCTCTCAGGTCCTTTAGCTGGTATCCCATGGGACTGTCAAAATTGTTAGCCCTGTCCAAAACCCTGTTTTAAAAGGAAGCCTGAGTTTGGTAGCTTTTCTTGAAATTGACTGCTCTTACTTTTCCACCTTTCCAAGCACCTGTGGTATCAGAAAAGAGTGAAAAAGTTGCAGGACACTGAGTACAATCCAGCCTAACCCAAAATATATTGAGGTTCTCACTATGAAATGAGCACTCCGCCCCTTTTTGTGAGTAAATATTTCTCATTTATTTGGCAGCTTGCCTTTTGACAGCTGTAAAGAAAACAAAGTAAAAAAGCAAAATTCTTTGCAGACTCTCTGGGTAAAGAATTCTTAACTGTATATTGTCCTGTTTCAGCTCTTAATGCTCAATTCTTATTTTTCTTTTCCACACAGACACTTTTTTGTATTAGTAAATGTGAAATGGGCTGAAACATTTTCCAGTGCATTAGTTTGTTGGGGGTGGTGGGGGACCCCAACTTCCTTCCCTCCCCCTTCCCCAGCATGCCACTTAGACAGCTAAAAGCAACACCTCTAGATGAAAGGCACAGTATGACTTATGTCAGTGGTAGAGATTGTGGTGGCTGTACCCTGTCTGTCTTATTATGCATTGCAAAGTAAAACCAGAGCATATCATGAAGGAAAAAAGATAACAAACTAAAATATTGTACCTTTGATAAGCTGTACCACACAATGTTATGTATCACTTTTATTAGCATATAACAAAACATTCTACTGTTAAAATAATTATTCATAAACTTAAACACAGGCAGCCCAAATGCTCATATATTTGCCTGTTTGTAAATTGCACTTGGAGACCACCCATTCAAAAGTCCTCCACTCATTGTGGTTTTGCAGGTTGCTGTTTAGTGTAATAGTATTAATATTTAGCTGTCAAAAGGACACAGAAAATCCCTTTCTATTGCTATACCTTGCTCCTTGCGTTGGATGGATGTAAGACTCTGAACTGGAGGGTTCTGTGCATGTGCAGCAGCAAGCATTGCATTGTGACCTTATACTGCAAGAAGATAGATATCTTTTTTTAGTTCTTTTTCAATACTGAAACTTTCAGGATTATACAGGCCCAAGGAAAGTGCTGATGTAATGCTGGATGCTTCCACATTAGCCATTTTCTCTGTAATCAACATAATTGGTTCACTGGGTTTCAGAGAACCCAGATGGTGATGCTCCCAAACCATCACATGCCCATGTTTATCCTCAGTGTTCTCACATTCTTCCTTTTCTTATTTAGTATTATGTCCTGCTACTTCAGATAAAACTTTTCTGCTGTCCTTACAGTAGTCTCCAGATGTATCTCCTGTGGAAGAGTGTTCCATCATAGAAGGAGTGCTGTAGCTGGAGTGTCTTTATCCACATGTCTCTGTTCCATTTCCATTGCCTGGCTCCACCTCCAACATTCCCTTCCCTAAAAGGTGTGCCCTCCCCATCATAGCTTCTTGCTAACTTGCATATGCCATTTTATATCTTCTCCTTTGCACAGAAGTGCATCAGGAGTAACAAAAATAATTTAACACATCTGAAGTACACTAAAGGCACTTGTACCAATAACAAAATATAGTGTGGAACCACAATGTTGAGAGGTACTATGATGACTTTGTTAGTAAGGAAAACAGGAGCAGAAATATTGCACTGCATGCATTTGTATCTGGACAGGATTTGTGGGATGCTAACCTAGCCAGCCCCTTCATGGATCACTG